GAGCGGCGGCCTGGGCGGGGGGGCCGCGTCCCCGCCCGCCGCCTCCCCGTTCCTGGGGCTGCACATCGCGTCGCCGCCCAATTTCAGGTGAGCGTCCCTGGCCGCGCGCCCCGCCCTTGTCCCGGCCCGGGCTGCCCCCAGAACCTCGGGGCAGCGGCGTGGCCACCGGTCCCTTCCTAGGACGAGGTGCGTCCTCGCACCCCCGGCCTCGGGTCCGGACTGAGCCGCCGCATGTTCCTGCAGCAGCTGCTCCGCCATTGCACGTCCTGGGGGGCTCTGAGCGGGGGTGGGGTTCGCAGGCCGCCCCCGCCCCGGCGCTGCGGCAGCGGCTGGGGTCCGGATTGCCACCTGCAGTGGTCCTGGCTAGAGATGGCCCCAGATTCCCGGGGTAACAAACAACCCTGGTGCTAGAAGCGGGGAGTCGTGGGCCCCTCTGCAGGTGGGCTGAACAGCGAGGCTGGCGCCGGCGGATCCTCTGTGGACTCGGGCAGTGCCCACCTGGCCAGGTGTGCAGGGCAGGTGTGGACGGCTCAGCCCTACCGGGGAATGCTAGCCAGACGAGGAGGGGGAGTCTGCTAGGAGCAGGCAGGGACATGGGGGGCGTAATTACTCAGGCCCTCTCTCCCGACCCCAATCTGGTGTGAGGGCAGGCGGATTTCAGCCGTGTGAGGGGCAGTGTTGGGGGCAGGGGAGATGGGGACCCCTACCATCACTCCCCCTCCTCCCCACTGGTGAGGAGGGTGTCCCATCTCAGCCCAGGAGAAGGACACAGTGACAAGCCCCATTGTTTCCCCATCTCAGGAGCTGGCACCTTCCCCTCTCCGGGGGCCCCTGCCCCAGCCAGGCCGCAGCTGGGCTCTGGCGTCAGCCCGCCTCTGACCAAGGGCTCGGGCCTCTAGGTGCTCAGGTGGGCAGGGCCCCAGGGCTGTCTAATGGCATCATCAGGCCCAGAGACCTCCCCAGAGTCCTTGAGCCCAGCGGGGAGGACTAGAGGGAGGGGCCTCAGGTGGCAGCCTCGTGACAGCCCCGGGCTCGCCAGGCAGGGCACACACGCCCTGGAAGAATGAGGGGCTGGCTGGGAAGGACCTGGGTTCAGATCCTAGCCAGGCCACTTCATCATTGCACGACCCAGGCCCTGTTTTGTCCTCTCTGGGTCCCATCTGTTAAGTGGGCTAATTAATATTGATTCCTCCCTGGTCAACAAGTGCCAGCCCCCACATGGGCTGAGAGTGGTTCCCAGAGCTGGCTGCACCCACCCCACAGCCTCTGGAGGGTAAGGGAGGTGGAGGGCTTGTCTGAAGACCCCTGGAAAGCCAAGGCTGGAGCTGTGTGTGCTCAGGACCCCGGCCTGCTGCTGGCCCCACGGGCACCTGTGTCCCCTGCCCTCTGGCAGGAGTTGGCACACAGATTCCCCTGAGGAGATGGCCTGAAGCCTTGGTGTGTGTTTGCCAGCCCCGGGCAGGCAGGATGCAAAGGGCAGGAGGCCAGAGGCTGGGGCGTGGGTCAGCCCTGTGGGACGCTGTGGCCCAGCTATGGAGACCAGACCAGCGCGTGGGAAGAATGAGGCTCAGTGTCCCAGGCCCGAGTGCCGCCCTGCCCACTCCAGCTGCCCTTTCTCCCATGCACCTTTCAAAGTCCCTGGCCCAGCTCCAGGCCAGCCTGGGTGGCCATACTGCCCTGTGACTCTGATGGGGCCACCCACTGGCCTCGGTTTCAGTCCTGCCGTCATCCTTAGCTGTGCGCCCTGAGCCTGGTCACTTAACCTCTCTGAGCCTTTGTTTCTTCTTCAAGAAGCTGGCTTTGACCCACCTCAAGGTGACACTCAGGGGAGACGACGAGTGTTGAGTGTCTCAAGGGCCTTGTGGGCACTCATGAATGCATGGCTCAGCTCCCGGGAGGCGACCAGTAGCCCCACTGCTCAGTGCAGTCGTGCTTAATAATGGCATATCCGCATACGGTGTCATTAAGGATAAAATGTTACTCTCCCAGAGGGTACAGAGTGACAGTGGTGATTCCAAATTCTCAGTCACTGGCTGTGGTGGTGCACACCTGTAATCTCAGCACTCGGGAGGCTGAGGCAGGAGGATTGCCATGAGTTCAAAGCCAGCCTGGGCTACATAAGTGAGTTCAAGCTCAGCCTGGACTGCATAGCAAGACCCTGTCTCAGAAAGACAAGAAAAAAAAAATTCTACAAGTTTTGTCAGTGGAGCAGATGTGGACATTCAGTGTAATCCCAGTGCTGGGAAGCTGATCCAGAAGGATTGCAAATTTCCCGGTACCGGAAAAAACAAAACAACAACAACAACAAAAAACAGAAGGATTGCAAGTTCAAGCCAAGCCCAGGCAACTTAACCACTTAGCAAAACCCTGTCTCAAAATTTAAAATATTTTTAAAGGCTGGGGATGTAGTTCAGTGTGAAGAACCTGGGTTCAATCCCCAATACCACAAATAAAATTAAATTTAAATTTCTTTTAATTTTAGAGTTTTCTTTATCACTCCTACCCATAGAAACAGAGCGTTATTATTATCCACACTTTTCAAATGAAGAAACCAAGGTATAGAGAGGTTAGGTGAGTGGCGGAGCTGGGATTTGAACCCAGACAGTCTGATTTCGGAGCTACCTGAGAGAGAGAGACAGAGAGACACAGAGACACACAGAGAGAGAGAGAAAGAAAGAGAAAGAGAGAGAGAGAGCGGTACAGGCCCTGAAGGGTGGGGGTGTCTGTGTTTTGGTACTTGGTTGAAAGAACAATATACCCATGTTTTTTTCTGACTGTAGAAATGTCCCATCCAGTTACTAGTGGCTACTTCAGGGTGTGGAGTGGGGCAAGGGATCTGTGCTTATTTAGATACTCCTGTATTATTTGACTTCTTATTTTTATAATGAGCATGTGTATGTAACTTACAAAAAATAAAAGGAAATTTAAACTTAAAAGGATACATGTTCATTATAAAGAAAACTCTAGAAAAGAGAATTTAGAAATGTTTTCAGTGATAGCTGGACATGGTAGCACATGCTTCTAATCCCAGCACTTGGGAGGCTGAGGCAGGAGGATTACCAGGAGTTTGAGACCAACCTGGGCTACATAGTGAGTTCAAGGCCAACCTGAACTACATAGCGAGGCCCTGTCTCAAAATAAATAAATAAATTAAACATTTTTTTAAAAAAAGAAAAAAATGTACACAATGGCTACATTTCACTGGGTGCGCGGGTGGGTTACGGGAGGGAGCAGGCACATGGCCCCACGTGGGAGGCCCAGCAGGACAAAGGGATGTTTATAGGAAATAAAGTAAGCACCCTGCCCTGGGAGTGCAGAAGCAGTCGCTGTGGAGGAGGGAGACCTCAGAGGTCGACTCAGCGGGGCTGGGTGAGGCTCCGTGTTGGAGCGCTCACTCACGAGTGTGAGGTCCTGGGTTCCATCCCAGCCCTGAGAAACAGAAAAAAAAATTTTTTAAAATAAATAAATAAATAAAACCATAGAAGAGGGGCTGGGGATTTAGCTCAGTGGCACAGTGCCTGCCTGGCAAGCGCAAGGTCGTGAGTTCGATTCCTGGTACCAGAAAAAAACAAAAAAATAAAACCATAGAAGAAAAAAGAAAGCCGTCAGCTCATCCAAACAGCGACCTCTTAGATGGAAGCGAGAACAGGGCAGTGGCTGACCCTGGAACCCATGCAGGAGCAGCTAGGGTGGCCGAGCCCAGGTCAGACCCCGGCGGTTTCCTCCTCCACCCCAGCCGCTCTGTGGGGCCGGGCACTGGCACCTGTGGTTCTTCCCTCCTTCTGCAACGTTTGAGCTTTGCTGAGCTTGCCAGGGTGACACACGGTGGCCAGGTTGTGAGTCTGTCTGTCACACGGGGACAGCGTAGAGGAGACAGATGGACCAGGCCTTACCAGACATGCTGGATGTGACGTCAGGCAGGTCCAAGGCCACCAGACGGAGGGACATCAGCTCAGGCCTTTTGGTGAGCGGGAATCACCAGGAGGAGGAGGAGGGCACAGCAGGGGCAGGACCAGGCTGGAGACCAGGAGGGCGGGCAGGGTGACACCCTGTGTGGCAGAGGGTGGAGGCGGGTCACGCAGGGACTTGTAGGCCACGCTAGGACACAGTGGCATCTTCACCAACAAGCATGCGGGCCCAGGAGGGAATCAGGCAGGTAGTGACAGCCCAGGTGGGTACCCTAGGAAGGTCACTGGCCAGGCTGCCGGTGGGAAGCACAGATGGATGGACAGGAAGTAAGGGTGATCTAGGGGTGGAGTAGCCCCTGGGAAGGGATCTGGCCTGAGGGGCAGTGGGGAGCGCTCCAAGATGGCGGGTCCCTGGGCCCGGGTGTCCTGCGGGGCAGAGGGTCAGCAGGCAGGGTGGTCACCTGCTGAATGTCGGATTGGTGTCCACTAGGGACCCAGCTGGAACAGTCAAGCAGGTGGTTGGTTGGGGTCTGGAGCTCCAGGGAGAGGGTTGGGCTGGGAGTGTCCATGTAGAGAGAGATGGTCCCTATCACCTCAGAGGGGCCTCATTATCCAGGAGGCCTGGACAGGGGAGAGGAAGTGGCCTGACTGAGGAACGCCAGCTTCCCCTGTTCAGCCGCCCATGCTTTGGTGGAGTTGGAGGTGGAGAGGCAGAATGGCCGCCTGGACCCTGGCCCGGTCCTGCTGAGCCCCAGGTGGGCAGCAGGGCTGACCGCCTCCCACGGCCCGAAGTAGCGAGGCAGCAGTTCAGCTTGACAAAGGGTCCTTCAAGTTGTTCTCTGGATTCCTCGAGTGGGCTGCAACCTCTAGCCAGAGGCCCAGAGGTTCCCACACACTGGGTCACCACTGCCACCCTACTCAAGGGTCTCACCCATTCCAGAATGCCATCTTTGTACCCTGCTGCATTCAAAAATCTATAGGAAGCCAGGGATGGAGCTGCACACCTGTAATCCCTGCACCCTGGGAGGCTGAGGCAGGAGGATCGCAAGTTTGAGCTCCACCTGGGCAACTTAGTGACTTAATGAGACTGTCTCCAAACATAAGGGCTGTGGATGTAGCTCAGTGGGAAGGCCCTGGGTTCAATCCGCAGTATCACAAAAGATAAGAAAAAATTTAAAAACCTGTGGATGCTGTCATCAGTAGCTGCCTTCAGGAAACTAACAAAGGAGGCGAGGTGGGCAGTAATTCCTGGATTTGACTGGACTCAGTCAGGAAGAGAACTCCACACACAAGGGACGGAGCCAGCCTGCCCCAGGGTCCAGCCAGCAGTGCGGGGATGAGAGCGCCTGGCTTGGCTCCCCCGGACCCACCTTTCACGTAATCCCACCTTCCCGGAGGCCCAGACATCCAGCCCCAGGCTGGAGCGGAGCCAGGTGGGGACTGAGTGCGAGATTTCCACGGCCAAGGTCTGGGAAGACCAGGCGCACTCGAGTCCATTTGCGTAAAGTGCTTACAGCCGCTTGCCGGGTGCCTGGTGGGGGGTTGCTGGACAAAGCCTTGACCCTGCTGCGATGGCCTCCCTGCACCTCGGGGACACCAGCACTGGTCACGTGACCCATTTGAAAAATTAGTCATCCCACAACTGCCAAGAGGGCCCGAGACAGCCCAGAGTGGGGCGGACCAGCCAGTCCCAGAGGTCCAGGAGCCTGGAGGCGGGAGAGGCAGCTAGGGAGTGAGAGAATCGATACAGGGTGGGGGCCCGAGGCCTTAAGAGCCTTCGGACCACAGGGAGGACCTCTGCCCCTTTCCCCAAGGACCAGGGCAGCGATTGCCGGCTGAGCTGGGGAGGGGAGGACCAGACCAGAACTGCACATTAGATGTTGGCTCGGGTCTGGTTCCCAGTGGAGAGCCCCCTGTGGGGGAGCAGAGGGCCAGCCATGGGTGTCACAGTGACAGATGGGACCCTGGATCACAGGAGCCCTCTGTCATGGGAGATGCATGAGTGCTACACCAGGGACCAAGGTCCCTTTGCGGGCCCTCGGCTCATACCTCCCAGCCCTGATGTGGCCTCCAGTCACCACTCAGCCCCCTTTGGAGGCGAGCCCAGCTCGAGAGATGTGGGCAGGGGCATGGCGTGGCCAGGATGGTGGCGGAGCCCCTGCACAGGCGGGCTGGGTTAATGCGGGAGCGGAGGCCTGGGATGTGTTCATAGACGCCAAAGGTCCAGGCGGGGTCTGGAGACCACACTCGGGCACAGAGCCACCAAATGTTGACAGGGACGGTCGTCCGGCCAGAGCGGACAGCGGGGCCGATGGATGGATCGATCAGCAGTGGCTGCTCTGAAGGAGGCTGCCAGGTGTCCAGGCCCCAGGAGAGGCGCAGCCCAGGAGGCTGCGCGTGGCTCAGGTTTCCAGGAAGAAGGCGGACGAGGCAAGGTCAGGAGGGAGCCTCCTGCTCCCCCTTCCTCTGCTCTCCCATCTTTCCTCCCCCGCCACCCTCGGCCTCCACAGACCGCAGGAACTCTGGGCCTCCTCCACCTCCCGGCCAGGGCCCAGTGCAGGAGGAAGGAATGGGCGGGGTCTTGGGAGAGGAGTGACTGGCAAGGGACTCTGGCCAGTCGCTCTCCTGCCATCCTTGGAGTGACACTGTCACTCCCAGTTGCCCTCTTTAGAAGGGCTTCTGGAAGAACCAGAGGCCCTCCTTATAATGGGAAGCTGAGGCCTGAGGCAGCTCATGTCTGAGCCTTCGTGCTCCTTGTCTGTGGAACAGGGTCCTCGCCCCGGGTCTGGTGAGGACATGTGACAAGCTTGGTGGCCAGGGCAGGGCCGTGGCTTGTAAGTGACCCGGCATTTGCTCTTGGGCCTCCTCTTCCAAGCCTGATAGCAGGGATTGCTCTGCATTCTGCTCAGTGTAGCAGAAGCACCCCAAACAGGACCTGGGTAATGACCCAGGCGTTTAGGCAGCAGAGGGGCTTGGCCCCAAGCGGGAGCCGTCCCTTAGGGTGAATTTCCTGGGTTGGGAGACAGGGGAGCAGGGGTCAAGGGCAGACTGTCCAACCCTGCCCAGCCCCTTCTCATCCTGCCCCATTCCCTTGTCGCTCCCCAAAGGTGACTCAGCCGACTGCCCCACCAGCCCTGTTGTCCCAGGCAGTGGGCATAGGGGCATTGCCGAGGTCAGGATGGTGAGACACTTCCATCCCCGTCCGGGCCAGTCCCTGAGGGCCCAGCTCCAAACCTTCAGATTGAGAGGAGGTGTCCTTCCACCTGCATCTGGCGGGCACATGCTGAGCACCTGGTACCCACAGGGTGCCCTGCCCAGCTCTGCCCCGGGCACATCCGGTTTAGCCTGGAGCCAGGCCAGGGTGGGAGGAGGCCTTGGTCCTGTTGGCTCCACCATGCTGCTCTGCAGCCAAGGAGGTGATGTCTGTCGCCGGGCACGTGGGAGGAGGGCGGGGAGGGCTTCCTGGAGGAAGGAGCTGCATTATGCTGCCTCCACACCCCGGGTTAGGTCCTGGGGAGCCATAGCACCCACCCTTGAAGGCACAGATCAGTAAACAGGTGAAACATAGAGCTGGGGCCTTGAATGACAAGCACAGGAATCTGCCTACTCTTAGTAGAGAACCTTGGAGGGTTTTGAATGGGGTCAGAAGGAATGGTGGGGTTTGTGATAGCTTTGCCCAATAGTGGGGCGGGGTGGGCTGGGGTGGTGCAGCAGGAGAGACTGAGGCAGGCAGGCCGTTGGGGAAGTCTGGGAGGGCGGAGGCAGGAGCTGGAGCGGAGCTGTGTGGTGAGGATACATGATGTGTGCTGGCGTCACAGGCAGAGCAGGGGACATCTGAGGACACCTCTAGGTCAGGTGTGCAGGGGTCCTGCAGCTCCCTGGTGCCGCCTGTGTCCCAGGGGCTCTTCCTGTGCCCCTGGCCTCCCAGTGGCCATCTATCTAGGTCACGCTTACTTAGTGCTGGCTCCTGAGTTCTTGTCCCAGAGCTGAGATGGCGCCTGTCCTGGCCACAGCGAGGAGGGCTATCCCCACACCTTGGTGACCATGCCCTCCTGCCACCTTTGGGGGACCCTGGCTCCTTGGGCTGCAGGTGGGCGGAGGCCTAAGGAGCCCCTTGCCTTGTGGAAATCTCTGTGAAAATCACTCCGCATGACAGGAAGTCCATTACCACCCAGTGTGCTTCCTGCCCTGCTCCGAGGAGTCCAAACGCTGGCTTGCCCTAGGCCTGGTACCTCCTGCACCCTTTGGTCTTCCTTCCTGGGGCCTGCAGGAGGGACGGAGCCCTGCCTGGGGAAGGAGGCTGCCGGGACCCCCCTCCGTCAGTCAGCACCATCTCCGCTGGTTCTGGGCCCACAGACGTCTCCCCGATGCTGTGGGGGCTGAGCGCTGAGCATGCGGCTGTGTGGACAGGGCTCCATTTTGGGGGAATTTTGCAAGCCCCCCCTCCTTCAACCTGCCACCCTGAGTGTGGCGCTGGCCCTTTAAAGCTGATCAGGGGCTGGCTTTGGGGGGAAACAGCCCAGATTTCTGCCATCTGCTTGCAAGCCTGGGCCAGGGAGGAGGGGGGGTCACTGCAGCCCCCAACAGGGGCATTGGAAGGGCAGGTGGAGCCAGTGGCATTGATTGCAGTAACCTGATCCCGCGGGGGAGGTGGCGACAGTGGCGGCCGCAGCGCAGCACGGCGGAGGAAGCACCCTGCAGCTGAGGGCTGGCCGAGCTGGGGCCGGGCGGTGGGCAGCTGCTGCCTCCTCTCCCAACCCATCCATTTTTAATGAGCTCCCCAGGCTTCTGCAGCGGGCAGGACGCAGACAGGCAGGCCCAGGCGGTGCAGGCCGGAGGCCACAGCCCTGCCTGGCCGGAGCCCTGGCCCCCTACCCTGCTGGGCATGAGAGGGCAGCCCTGGGGCCCTGCAGCCCCCAGGCCGGGCTGGGCTCCCCATGCAGCTGGCGCTGAAGATGGATTCGAGCCCAGACAATGACAGCTGGTTGGAGGACCGGTGGGAGCACTGGTAGGGGCTGGGGCCGGCTGGGGGCAGCGGGAGGAGTCCGGAGCGCTCCTGTGAGCTCAGGTCCCTCTTTGGTGTGACTGAGGTGAGAGACGGTGTGGCCCTCCGGGGAGCCGGCGCTGCCTCCCCCTCTCCCAGGTGACCTTGGCGGATGGGTTCCTTCGCTCCGTCCCAGTCTCCTGGTCTTAGGGAAAAGGCTCCAGTGTTCCCCGCAGCTTCCCCGATGTCCCACTTGCACCAAGCCAGGCAAAGGGGGTCAGGGTTAGAGGGAGCGGTGTGGGGATGCCGGCGCCCCGGGGCCAGCCTGGCCCTGCACTCCGAGGCGGGTGCACAGAGCTGCTCTGGGGCACTCTTGGGGCCGGTCAGGACTCCTCCCGCCCCAGCCTAGGGCCTTCCTGACCCCATCGGTGCAGTCTCCTGCTCCTGGCCCTGTCACTGGGCAAGAAGACTTGGTGGTTGAAACCAAGAACATAGCAGGAGACATCGTTTCCCTGGAATTGACTGGACATTCCCACGCCGACAGCAGATGGCCCTTCACTCAGTCCCAGGATCGCGGGCGGGGTGGAGCGCATGGGGCAGCTCTCCGAGGCTGCTGTGTCCTCTGCCAACACTTCGGGTCTTGTTACTGTGAACTGCGCCGAGCCCCCTAGTTCAAGGCCCCCTTTGGTCTCAACTCTGCATCCTTCGTGGGCAAACTGGCCTTGGCAGGAGGCATTTCTGTGGCAGAGCCGAGGCTCTGACCGCGGGACCTTCCAGGCACTGCCTCCAGGTTGGCAGCAGGATGGGACAACTCCAAGCTGGGAGGATCTGGAGGACCTGGGGCTTTTGGCAGGAGCCCCAAATTCCTTCCCTGCCATTGGTGCAGATGGACGGAACCCCGTCGTCTGTGTTCTGCGACCTGTCTTCCCGAGGCTGCCCCTCGGAAGGTGACAGGGAGATGCCAGTGGGCTTGGCAGTGGCCCTGGGTTATAGCTCTGGGTTTCTGTCCCCACCAGGCTCACCCATGACATCAGCCTGGAGGAGTTTGAGGATGAAGACCTCTCAGAGATCACCGATGAGTGTGGCATCAGCCTGCAATGCAAAGACACCCTGTCCCTACGGGTAAGCGCTGGCTCCCGGGAGTCCCTGAGTAGGGTGGCAGGATGGGTAGGGACAGGACGGCATCCCGTTGTCCCCAATTAGCTTTCAGATCGGCATAGCACCCTGAGTAAGTGAAGTGACAGGTGGGAAACATCCACTGTGATGCTTGGCGCCTCTTGGGTGCTTGATCAGAATTTATTTTTTAAAATTGTGTTTATGGGCCAGGGATATAGCCCAGCGGCACAGCGCCTGCGTGGCAAGCTCAAGGCTGTGAGTTCGATTCCCAGTACCCCCCTCCCAAAAAAATTGTGTTTATTTCTTTGCCAGGGCTAAGGCAGATGGCAGCTCCTTCACTGAGCCAGAAGCAGAGAGGCAGAAGGTCTTGAGGTCTAGGACAGTGGCAAGGGAGGCCAGAGTTAAGGACAGAGCGTCCCTGGCTGAGGGCCGGAGGCAGCGCAGGGTGGGGTCCCACGGAATCTGCAATGCGCTGGGGCAGGAGGAAAGAGCCGAGCGCTGCTGGAGGAACGCTCACATTGCCAGCACCACTGTGCCAAACTACCCGCCCCACTCAGCCTCCCCAGCCTTCTCTGACCCCGGCGGCCAGGGGTTGGCCCAGGACTGCTGCTGCTTTGGGCCCCGTTGCTTTGCTTCTTCCTTCTCTGAAGAGCCAAGTGCTGCCATGGGAGGTCCCGAGCAGCTGGGGAGTCTAGGTCAGATGGGGATTTCCATTGCATCTTTTCAGAACAGAAAGCAGGAGCCGGCCAGCCAGGAGGGAAGGTAAACTGAGGGGCTAGGGTTTAGTGGGAGGGCTAGATGTGGTGCTGGGGGAGCTGCAGTGAGAGTCCGGGAGGGGATGCTGGCTCCGTGTTGACCTTCTGCTCCCACCGGAGCTTCTGGCAGCTCTGCTGGCAAGAGGAAACCAAGGGTTGACAGTAATGTACGCCAGTCGCAGTCGTCCACCCTCTGGCCAGAGCAGGGAGGGATGGAGGTGGAGGCCACTTATTCTGGTTTCGGGACTCTGGCATGGCTTCTCGGAGGTCATACCCCTGTTCTGGACTCCAGTCCCCTCTCTCCCCCAGTATGCGCAAGCAAAGCCCCAAGAAGGGCCCTGAGATAGAGCTAGCTAAGGATGCGCCTCCGTGGGGCCTCCGGCAAGCTCCGGGGCGCCTTTGCCAGGGCAGTGTCCTCACGCCTCTGGGAAGGTGGAAAGCGGAAGTGCTGTAGCCGATCAGCGAGCGGTGAGGGAGGGAAGGGTCAGAGGATCTGTCCAAGGTGCCAGGGACTTGGGGGCAGAGCTGGAACCAGCAAGGGGCTTGGGACTCAAGGCTGGGTTAGCTGAGGGAAAGTCTCCGTGAGCTGAGGCGAGCACCCAGGGGAGGGCGAGGACGCCACGGCCTAGGTTCCAGGTGCCCCTCCCTCCTCGTCCCTCTTCCGGTCGCTGTCAACCCTCGCGTCCGCACTGCGTCCTTCGCACGGTCTTCCTCGCCTGTCTGAGACCCAGTTTTCCCTATTTTCCTCACGGTCTCCTTCAAACACTAATCGTAACTCCCACCCCCATCCCTTGTGGGGCTCGAACGCCTAGGCGACCCCTACGTCCCCATGGCAACAGCGGTGATTTCACTCCGGGCTCGGCTTACAACCCGGGTGAGGTCACTGGCCGTTGTCAAGGGAACGGGAGAGTGCAAGGAGTCAGGAGAGGGGCCTCTTGGTGGGGACAGGAGCGCTGTGGGCTGTCCAAGGCGCCGACTGGCGTGGGGAGGGGGCGGTCTCAGCTTTCTCGCTGGGGGTGGGCGGAGAGGCTGTTTTCTCCCCGCGGCTCTTGCACGGTTTCTTCTGATCCCCCTTCGGGCTGGGTGAGAATGGACTCGCCCGGGGTGGGCGGTGCTTAGCGACCTAGGCCCCGCCCCTCTTGGCGCGGCCCCGCCCCCTGACGCCGCTCTGTCCGCGCCGCGGCCGCGCAGCCCCCGCGCGCTGGGCTGCTGTCTGCGGGTGGCGGCGGCGGCGGCGCGGGGAGCCGGCTGCAGGCGGAGATGCTGCAGATGGACCTGATCGACGCGGCGGGGGACACTCCCGGCGCCGAGGATGACGAGGAGGACGACGAGTTGCGCGCGGCACGGCGGCCGGGAGCAGGACCGCCCGAGACCGAGTCTGGCCAGGAGCCCGCCCCCCGCATCCAGAGCCAGGGCCCGGGCAGCGGCGACACGTACCGGCCCAAGCGGCCCACCACGCTCAACCTCTTCCCGCAGGTGCCGCGGTCTCAGGTGCGGAGGGGTCGGGGGCGGGCTGGGGGCTGCGGGAAGTGTCTCCGCGGCCGGTGCGCCAGACACAGGGCTTCGGCCCTGGAGATGGGGCTCTGGAGCCTTGGGAAGCGGGGGCAATGAAGGGGCTGGCAGGGACGAGGAAGAAACGAGCAAGGAGAGGTCGGGCGTCCAGAGAACAGGGCTTTGAGCGTTCTTCGGAAGGAGTTCGGGATCTCTGGCAAGGACGGGGTTTCCCTCTGGTGATGGGGCTCCTGGTGAGGGCTGGAGCAAAGGGCAGCTGAGGGGTGGTCCTGCAGCCGGGGGAGGTGGGCCGCGCAGGGGCAGCAGGCAGCCTGGAAGCCGGGCAGCTGGGAATTCCAGAAGGCAGAGGCGAGGAGGGGGATGGAACTGCTTGGCTGAATTGGGGACCTAGGGCCCCCGGCCGGTGGCTGGATGCCAAGCGGCGTTGAATACTGTGGTGAAGCCGTTGAATACTGTGGTGAAGCCGGCTGTGGCCCTTTGTCTTGCAGGCCCAGTCTGGGGAGGTACAGAGGCCTCCAGGGAGGTGGGGCTGCTGGGGATGGTGTAGGACTGCAGGGAGAGGATTGGTCCCTTTCCCAGATTCCTGGCATGGCTTTCTGCAGCCCAGCTCGTGAATGTGAGGGCTTGCAAGAGTGTTCCCAGCTGAGGGAGCCCAAGTCATGCGCGGGGAGTCTTGTCGGTGGGCAGGGGTCCCAGGGGTCTGGGAATGTGGCACTGGAGGGAAGGCTGCGGGGACTACTTGTCACTCCCCAGTCATGTGTGGCTGGGCGTGGGGTGTGGTATGGAGTCATCACTTGGATTCATTCTAGTCCCCAGTCCTGCTGCTGGGGAGAGAGACTTCTTTAGGTGTTGTTCAGCCTCTGTCAGAGTATCACTGGCCCTTCCTGGGCCGCAGCTTCCTGAGCTCCAGGGCAGGGAGTTCCGGGTCCTCCCCTGGGCTGGACTTGAGCATTTTACTTGTAAACCACTGATGCCTGGGACTGTGGGTCCATCTGTCCTGAGGGCTCCTGCTACCCTCTCACCACACAGCCTGGCCAGCACCATCCTTGCCAAGGCTCACAAGTGTGTCCTGAGGGCTGGCCAACCGCCCTAACCCAGGAAGGAGGTGTGACCTGCCACTCTCCCACCTGCTCCTGGAGGCTTGGGAGTGAGGCCCCGGGCCAGTGGAAGTGGGTGGGTGAGGCTCAGGGCCTAGGGATGGCCTGATGGGGGCAGGGCCAGGGCCTCCCTGTGCCGGGCACTGCTGGCCGCATCTTCACAAGGGCCTTTTGTCCCCTACACAGGACACGCTGAATAATAATTCTCTCGGCAAAAAGCACAGTTGGCAGGATCGGGTGTCTCGATCGTCCTCACCCCTCAAGACAGGTGAGCCAGGACCCTTCTCCTCCCTGAGCTGCACCTCTGCCTGCCCTGCTCAGGGCCTGGTGCTCAGAGCAGACCCTGCGGCCTCCACTTGCCCAGCAGAGGTCAGGTACCCAGCACCTGGCACCAACCCAGCTAGGGCTGAGGGCAGCTGCTGTGAGCGAGTTGCCCAGTCCCTACCCAGGGCATCGCCCGAAGGCCTTGCTTGGCCTCTGGGTGGACACACCAAGTGAGGGGAGGTCACTGGGAGACGTGCTGGGAACACCTGCCTCACTCTGACCTGCCTGCCCTCCAGGGGAGCAGACACCACCCCATGAACACATCTGCCTGAGCGATGAGCTGCCGCCCCAGGGCAGCCCCGCCCCCACCAAGGACCGTGGCACCTCCACCGACAGCCCTTGTCGCCGCAGCGCTGCCACCCAGATGGCACCTCTGGGTGCCGCCCCTGCTGCCACCCCTGGAGGCCTGGGCCACTCCCATCGGGACCGAATCCACTACCAGGCAGATGTGCGGCTGGAGGCCACAGAGGAGATCTACCTGACACCAGTGCAGAGGCCTGCGGACCCTGCTGAGCCTGCCTCGGCCTTCCTGCCTCCCGCGGAGAGCCGCATGTCCGTCAGCTCCGATCCTGACCCTGCCGCCTACCCCTCCGCAGCGGGCCGGCCCCATCCCTCTATCAGCGAAGAGGATGAGGGCTTCGACTGCCTGTCATCCCCGGAGCGGGCCGATCCACCAGGTGGAGGGTGGCGAGCGAGCCTGGGGGAGCCACCCCCACCCCCACGGGCCTCGCTGAGCTCGGACACCAGCGCCCTGTCCTACGACTCGGTCAAGTACACGCTGGTGGTGGACGAGCATGCCCAGCTGGAGCTCGTGAGCCTGCGGCCGTGCTTTGGAGACTACAGCGACGAGAGCGACTCAGCCACTGTCTACGACAACTGCGCGTCGGCCTCCTCGCCCTACGAGTCGGCCATTGGGGAGGAGTACGAGGAGGCCCCCCGGCCCCGGCCCCCCGCTTGCCTCTCAGAGGACTCCACGCCCGACGAGCCTGACGTCCACTTCTCCAAGAAATTCCTGAATGTCTTCATGAGCGGCCGCTCGCGCTCCTCCAGTGAGTCTTGAGGGGCGCGGTGGGGGAGCCAGCGGGGTGGGGGCGTCCTGGAGCCCTGACTGCTCACCAAGTCGTCTGTACCCAGCCTGGGCCCCGGCCGGGCCACCCTCCTGCAGCCCCGTCCGCTCCCTGCAGGTGCCGAGTCCTTCGGGCTGTTCTCCTGTGTCATCAACGGGGAGGAGCAGGAGCAAACCCACCGGGCCATATTCAGGTGAGGGCCGCCCTGCCTGCTGCTGCCATGGCCACCCCTGCCATGGGCGCCCACTCGGTCCCCAGGACAGTGCTCACCCTCTGAACTCAGAGCAGGGGGCCCGAGTGCTGGGCTGTCCTGAGGAAACCAAGACCATGGCAAAGTTCCCTGTGCACAAGGGATGCCTGTCCTCACCCAAAACCCACACCCCTCTCTGATCTAATCCAGGCTTAGCACTTGTGTCCCATGACCTGCAATTTATCAGGACCTCTGCTCACTCTTTTGACCAGTAGACTGCCAGGCGACAGGTGTGTGTCTGACACTGGCCTTCCAGGAGCTGACACTGTGACAGGCACACCTGGTGCACACCTGTAATCCCAGCTTTGCACACCTAGTGGTGCACACCTGTAATCCCAGCACTCAGGAGGCTGAGGCAGGAGGAGCTCTGTGAGTTTGAGGCCAGCCTGAACTACATAGTGAAACACTGTTTCAAAACAAACAAAAAACCCCCAATGTGTATTAAACTTAGGATGCCACTGTGGCTGGGGGGGTCTGGCTGGAAAAATCCTGGTGAGGAACCCCGATGTGTCCTTATTGGGGACAGGTTTGTGCCTCGACATGAAGACGAACTGGAACTAGAGGTGGATGACCCCCTCCTGGTGGAGCTGCAGGCTGAGGACTATTGGTACGAGGCCTACAACATGCGCACCGGTGCCCGCGGGGTCTTTCCTGCCTACTACGCCATCGAGGTCACCAAGGAGCCTGAGCACATGGCAGGTAGTGTCCTTCCCCTCCTGGGACCACCAGCCCCCGCCCTGGCCCCCACCCTGCCGCCAAGTGAACCTGTACCCCAGATCCGGGCCAAATAGGGAGAGGCTGATGAGGTGAATTCAGGTTGTTTCCCAAGGAGAAAAGTTGGGACCTCTGGGGGTTGTGGCGCCCTCTGTGGGCAGTGTCACCTGCACTCCTTGCCCGCTGTCCTTTGCTGGGTCCTGGGCCCCTCCAGTCAGCTGCACCAGCCGCTCACTTGATGCTTATTTTCCAGCTCTGGCCAAAAACAGTGACTGGGTGGATCAGTTCCGGGTGAAGTTCTTGGGCTCCGTGCAGGTTCCCTATCACAAGGGCAATGATGTCCTCTGTGCTGCTATGCAAAAGGTACGCCCGTGGCCACGCTGTCTTGGGGACAAGGAGGCAGGGCTCTAAGGCAGTATGAGCCTTAGGACCCAGGCCAGGGACGGGAGGAGAGACAGCACCTGACGTGTCTGTACCCGTTGCCTGCAGATCGCCACCACTCGCCGGCTCACCGTGCACTTTAACCCGCCCTCCAGCTGTGTCCTGGAGATCAGCGTGAGGGGTGTGAAGATCGGCGTCAAGGCCGATGACCCCCAGGAGGCCAAGGTGGCGTCCCCCGCCCTGCCTCCCTGCGGCCCCAGCCCACCATTAAGCCTGCCCCGGCAGGTCCCCTTCCCGCTGCGGGGGTGGGCATCCCCTTCCCGCTGCGCTGGTGACCACCCTCTTGCCTCTCTTCTCCCTCTTCTAGGGGAATAAATGTAGCCACTTTTTCCAGCTAAAAAACATCTCTTTCTGTGGATACCATCCAAAGAACAACAAGTAAGTGGAGAGACGGGGCATCGGGTGCGGCCGGAGGGGGGCTCTCCGGCTCCCAGGCCCACAGCCGCCTGTCTTCCCATAGGTACTTTGGGTTCATCACCAAGCACCCTGCTGACCACCGGTTTGCCTGCCACGTCTTTGTGTCTGAAGACTCCACCAAAGCCCTGGCAGAATCCGTGGGGTACGTGTGTGTCTGGCCTGGGCCCCCAAGAGCCACCCCAGGCATAGGCCACCGCCCAACCCCCAAGCTCTGGAAACCCCCAGGGCTTCAGACCCGCGTGGAAGCTGGGTGGGGCAGGGGGCTGAGGGGTGGTTTCCAAGCTTATTGGCTGCTGGTCTGTTCTTCACTCGCCGCCTCCCTCGGGGGATGCAGGCCTCAGGGGACAGAGCCCAGCATTCCCAGGGGCCTGCCGCCCCTCACCTGCGCCCTGCCTTGCAGGCGCGCATTCCAGCAGTTCTACAAGCAGTTTGTGGAGTACACCTGCCCCACCGAGGACATCTACCTGGAGTAGCGGCCACCCGCCCTCCACGCCCCCAGACCATGCAGGACAGCAGCTGTGGACAGGACCTGTGCGGCTAGGGAGGGACACGGCCCCCACCAGAGGATGGGAAGTCGGGGCGGGGGTGCCAGGAGAGCGGCCTGGTCTGTTGTAACAGAATTGTAACATACGGCTCAGATCCATCCATGGAGGACAGAGCGGGCTGCCTGGGGACAGGAGGGGCAGGGCTGGGGCTGCTGCCTTCTGGTCGCAAAGGGTGTCCCTCCTGGGGACAGAGGCGCTGCTCTGCCCTGGGCCTTACTTCCCCTGCCGGGGCCCTGGCTCCTGCCTTGACAAAGCCCACGCCACCTGCAAGTGCCCGCTGTCCCCCGTCCCCAGCCCCTCCCAGAGCCCTGAGCTCAGGCCGAGCCCGGCCACCTCCCAAGGACGTTCCAGGGCGGAAATGGCAGAGGGCGGAGGTGAAGTCGCTGCTCTCCGTCCGCGCTGAGGGGCTGTGGGCGGCTCGCACCTCCGGCCCTGGCACGCGGGCCCCGCCAGGGAGAGGCGGCCTCTGACTGGCCTCGGCCAGCCCCACCATGGTCCTGTCACCCTGGCCACGTCTATTAAAGTGCCATTTCCTGTCTGGACCACCGTGCCTGTGTGTGCACGCGGCCGCCCTGGCGCCGCCTCCGTCACATCCAGGAAAGCCTGAGCCTCTGCCGACAGAACATAGCTTTATGCAGGTTCCCTCAGCCACCTTCGGGGGCGTCCTCGCCCTCGTAGTAATAGTCGGCCACGTCCGGCCCGTCCCACTTGCGCGGCTGGGCCTGGGAGAGGAGGGGCCGCGGCCCTCGCCATCCGGGGTGCGTGAGTCTGGGGTGCCTCGGTCGGATCCCGTAGTCTGAAGTGGGATGGGGGGATGGTTTGGGACAGGGCTTGAATGGAGGCTGCCCGGACTGGGACGCGCAGGGCTGGCCCTGGGCCTCTGGGGCACCCCTCCGCTGTGGGAAGGGGCGGGGACAGGAGGAATCCTACCATCCACCAGGTCAGACAGTGGCTGCGACAGTTCCAGGAAGTCTGGAAATTCCTCAAGAACAGGCCTACGGGAGAGGTTGGGGTGCTCAGCCTGGCCCTGGCGGCCGTTGCCATCTCCTGAGTAGGGTTGGCCCAGGGCAGGACTCAGCACTCCCCAAACCCTGGAACCCTGGCCAGACTCCTCTCCCAGGAGGGCAGGGGCGGCACCTCAGGGGCTGGGGGTGCAGGACCCTAGCTGCCAGGATGAGGTACAAGAGGAGGCTAGGCCTGGCCCTGGGGTACAGAGCCCCCAGGATGGCGGGCACCATCTCCGACACGGGCTGCTCAGGTTCCGCCTGCCCAGCTCCACTGTGGCTCGGAACCTGCTGCCGACCCCCAGGCCGCCTCACAAAGGGCACTGTTCCAGGGCTGATGGAGGCAGGAAGGTGGGTGCTATGTTTCACAGCCTGGGCTGGAAGGCGCCAAAGCAAAACTTGTCCTGGCATCAGTGCCCAGGGCGAAGGACACAGGTCTTGTGGTCACATCTCAGCTCAAGTCCTGACCTTGCCTCTTGCTGGCCTCCCTTCCCTTTCCTTTGAGGGAAGTGGACACATGCAGTTGGCCCTCAATGGAAGAGACTGGCGGCCCCCAACTCACACCCCTACCTTCCCCACAGCCTCTCCCGCCACCCCGCAGGCCCAGGGAGGTCCTGGCAGCTGAGATACCACTGTGGGCTGTCTGTTAAGTTGCCCAGTCTGGCCTTGAACTTGCAACCCTCCTGCCTCAGCCTCCTCAATGGCTGGCATATGCTGTCATGGTCTGAGCCACTTACTAACACGATGCAAACCTGCTGGCCTCTGCATCACGTAAGCTGTCAAACCCAGCTCCAGCTCTCTTCCCCATCTTTGGTGTCAGAACCCAGGGCTACAGCTTTGAGAACGCTGTTGCTGGTCCCCGAGGCCTGAGGGGAGGCCCCTCGGTCCCCACCTCAGCACCTGGTCCCAGTGTCCCTCAAGCGCAGGTGTGTGCCCTTCGCCTGCACCCTCTGCCACACACCAACTCCCGCACCACTCCTCCCTTTTGTCCCAGAGACAGCGCATCCCCCCCGAACTGCCTCAGCATCAGGGCTACCGGGAGGAAGCACCCTGAATTCCAAGACCTCATACTTCTGCACACAGCCTAACTCCAAAGCCCTTCTGCTCCTCACCTCCTGGGGCTGCCGTTTGCCCCCATCCACTGGGTCCCCTAGGACCTCCCTGCTCCCAGACACTACCTTGTTTGGCCTCTCCTGGGGTTACAGGTTGGTCTTTGGCCAGGGGTCAAAGCTCTTGTCCTCTCCCCTGCCCACCACACTCCCCTCCCCACTGTGAACCGCAGAGCAGCGCCGGGTCCCCTTGCCGCCTCCCATCCAGCCCCGCCTCTCGTGGCCTCACATCTGCTTCTGCCCACAACCCCCATCCCCGTCCCCCTACAACAGTGCTTCATTCATGTGGTGCCACACCCGTGCCATTCCGCACAGCCTCCTCCACCCATCAAAAATCTGTTGCCCATGGCCGCCTGTGGTGATGTAGGCCTGTACTTCCAATGCTCTGGGAGGCTGAGGCAGGAAAATCACAAGTTGTAACTTAGTGATTTAGGCCCTGGCTCAAAATAAAACAAATGACTCGGGATATGGCTCAGCGGAGAGAGCCTATGTTCAATCCCAGTACTGCAAAAACAAACATGGGCTGGGCTGTGACTGCGTTGTGCCTGGCTCAGGCAAAGCCTGGCCTCGTCCTAGGGTAACAGCAACAAAACTGTTAAAAGAGTTGGGGCTGGGGATTTAGCTCAGCGGCACAGCGCCTGACTGGCAAGCGCAAGGTCGTGAGTTTGATTCCAGTACCGGAAAAAAAAAAAAAACCAACTGTTAAGAGCTGTAACCACTCACACAGGGCCCTCCCCAAGCCAGGCACTGTCACCAAGGACCCAGTGCGGTCTCCTCCATGCAAAGTGGTGCTGGAGGGCAGGAACCTCGCCCTTTGCCTTCCTGAGCGCGCCGCCTCTGGCACAACCTGCTACGAGCCAGTGCCCAGGATCGCTTGCTCAAGTAAGCCAAGTGTCACGGAGCTGAGCTAATGGGGACAGGTGGTGCTTTCCACACGTTCAACCTCACTGCAGGCCCAGGTGGCTCCCTGGAGACACAGGGGAGCTGTGCCAGGATGAGGGCACCTCAGAGGTGGTGGAGCCTGGAGAGCCAGCAGGACCTGGGTGCAGACGGAGCTCTCTAGCATCTGAGGGGCTATGTGGCCTGGGACCCGCAGAAGCGTTGCTTTTTCCCAGGCAGGGACACAGAGCTGGTGCCAAGGGTGGGCGGCTCAGCCCTCTCCTGTCCACAGCGGCTGGCCTGGCTCCAGACCTGGCCAGAGCTGGCGAGGCGAGTGTGGGAACCCCACCTCAGCCACCCTGAACTCGGGTTTCTCTTTGAGCCTCGGCTCCTACTCCTGACCCTGCACCAGCCCGGTGCTGGCCACTGGCCGCTAGCCAACATCCATTCCAGGGTGGTCAGGGCTTGGGGCGGTGAGGCCTCGGCCGCAAGGCATGCAGGGAGTCATCAGGCATGTCTGCTGCAGTTGGTCTGTCTCCACCCAGGGCAGTGAGAGAAGGGGCTGTTGCAGCTTCCTGTGGCTCCCAGAACCCAAAGCTGCTGAGGTTTCTTGGCTGGTGACAGAGCCGGCGGTGAGGGCCTGGCTGGCGGGGAGCCCCTGGGCGCTGGGCACGGAGAGGCTGCAGGCTTGGACACTGCCAGTCAGTTTTATTAGGAAGAGGGGCCCGGAGCACCACAGGCTGAGGCGGGCCCTGCCTGGAGCAGCAGCCCTGCATCCGCCCTCCCTGTGCCCCACTCCCGGATGTCTGTCAGCCCCAAATGTAGAAGTAAATTTTCTGCCAGGTGGGCAAGTAATCCATGAGTGGCCCTGAAACCAAAAGGGGGACAAGTCAGGACCGAGGGGCCTCTCAGCCACCGCTGCCCAACACAGCCGCTCACATCTGCACTGCCAGCAGCCCGCGGGACCTCCACTCTCTGCCCCAGGGAGGAAAGTGACAGGGCCTCTGTACCCGGAGCACAGACAAGGACCCTCAGGCTCAGGAAGGCTACCACTTGTCCTGCCGTGGTGCTGTCCTCCTCTGCTCAGGTGTCAGGGCTTCCTGTTACTCCAGGGCCCCGGGCAGGAGAAAGGCTACAGCTGATGTGGTCTGAACTCCCCACTCATGGGACCCCCTCCTCCTGTTCACCTAACTTTAAACTCCGTCTTTCTACCATGACAAGAGTCAAAGGACAAAGAGCCTGAGCAGGCAGGGAGCTGGCTGTGCACAAGGTCAGTGACACCCCACGATCACAAGCCTTGTCCACTCACTCGCCACCAAGCTGCCACCAGGGATGTGGTCTGCCAGCAGCTGCAGCAGGAAGAGGATCTTGGCCCTGCACAGAGGAGAGAGATGAGGCAACTGAGCAAGGTGTGGTGGCACACACCTGATATCCCAGCACCTGGGAGGCTAAGGCAGGATAGTTGCAAGGTCAAGACCAGCCTGGGCTACAAAGTGAGCTCAAGGCCAGCCTGAACTGCACAGGGAGACCTTGTCTCAAAAAAAAAAAAGAAAAGAAAAAAGAAACTGTGACACAGAGAGGTCAGGTAAGCTGTTCAAAGCTGCACAGGTGCAGGGCAGGCTGGCTCCAGAGCCCACGGTGTGGGCCAGGAAAGGGAACCTGCTCCTGGCAGCCTGAACCTGGGCCAGGTCCTCTGAGGATCCAGGAACTTCTCTGTCAGGTTCCCAGGATGGTCAGGCTAGGAGGGTTGGAGCCAAACCCAAGGCCTTGTGCCCAGGGGCCACCTGCAATCACTGTGTCTGAGAACCTGAGACCTGGTAACCTCTCTGCCTCTTAAAGTGCAGGCACATCCGGGCAAGTCTCCTATGGAATGCTGTCTCCCACAGCAAGAAACACGGTTTTGCTTCAGTCCCTTGGAAGCACTCTTTGTTTTTTTTGTTTTTTTTTTGAGACAGGGTCTTGCTGTGTAGTCCAGGATGGTCCTGAACTCATGGCAATCTACCTGCCTCAGCCTCCTGGGTCCTGGGTGCTAGAATTACAGACATGTGCCACCACGCCTGCCTGAACTTTCAGTCTTATCTAAAAGTGGCAGAACTGACAGGCAAAGTCATTTTCAGGGAGGTAGTGTTAAATATGACATATGCTTGCTTTCTCCTGTCTCAGGAAAAAGCAGAGGTTAGTTGGCCATCATATTCAGTGAAAGTTTCCAACTTTCCTGCTAGAGTGGATTTAGCCAGGTGTGGTGGTACAGGTCTGTAATCCCAGCACTCTGTAGGCTCTGTAGGCTGAGAAGGAGGATTTCCTCAAGTTCAAGGCCAGCCTGAACTACATAGAGAGACACACAACAACAACAAAATAGAGAGCAAGAGAGAATGACGGATCTGGGATCCAGCCCTGACCAGGCTGCCCTGACCTCTCTGAACCCCAAGTGCCACTGAGACCTGGGGGGAACAGAGTATTTGGCAAGACAGAGCAAGGAGCTGGAGGGTGCGGAGAGCCCACAGCTGACACTGACCTCAGGCGTCCTGCCAGTGCCCTGGGCCCGAGTGCTCGTGCTCACAGGGGCTGATGGCCCAAGGGCCCTGGGGACAGGCGGGGCTGGCATCTGGACAGCCAGGGGAGGGAGACAAGGCAGGCACCATCGGGGGCGGAGGGGCAGTGCCTGCGGGGCTGGGCCAGGCTGGGGGTCCTTACTCAGAGAAGCGGTCGTAGAACGGGGAGCGCAGCAGGTAGTACAGCAGCAGGATGGTCCGCCGCCGCAGCTCCAGCCGCTCCCTCCGGGTCAGGCCCTTCTTGTCACTCAAGAGGCTCAGGCTGGCGTGGGAGAGGATGCAGTCAGGACCAGGTTCTGATTGGTCACAGGCTGGGGGCCACAGGGGCGGTCTCAGAAGGGGCTGCTGCCCGCCCAGCTGAGGCACAGCCTGCAGCATGAAGCCCCAGGCAGACCCAGGCTCACCTGGTCACATCTAAGACACCAGACAGGAGCCAGGGTGTCCAAGACCGCTGACCCCAGAGCCCCAGACTGAGCACTGACGGCCAAGGCGTCAAGGATGTCTCCAGCACAGGCCCAGCTTGGCCCTGACCCCACCTGCCCCAGTCCCACCTGCCCCAGTGCCGCTGCCAGCCCAGCCCAGCTCAGGCCAAGGATACAGTGCAGTAGAGGCCGTGCTATGTACAAGGACTCTGCGATGGTCTCCTGCAGCCCCAGGGGCGTTGGAGGGACGTTCAGCTCGCCGTGCTGCTTTGGCCGAGCCTCCCGCTGCTGGGGGGTTCCCCAGTGCCTGGAGTGCAGGGACGGAGCTAGGACAGAGGTGGCAGGTGAGTCAGGCGGGCCAGGGCGGGCAGGTGGCGTCGGTGGAAGCTATGCTGACCTCAGCACGGAGGGGCCCACTTACTGTTCTGAAGGGTGCGCACCACTCGGTTGGATCGCTTTCCCACATAGGACTGCTCCTGGTCGCCCAGGTTGTGGTCACCATCTAGCAGGGACAGACAGAAGGCCACAATGTCAGAGGGACACGCTTCCAGCACAGCCTTCAAAGAACACATACCGGGCAAATGCAGAGGGGGTCAGCTGTGTTCATACTCGACCTGCCACCAGAGGACCATCTGGAACCTTTCCTGGCTGGGGGTAGGACGGGCATTATACATCTGTGACCACAGCCAGCCAAGAACCCAGGCTTCCCAGGGACTGGAGCCATGTGCATGGGAACCACAGCAGGCCAGAGGCCACATCCCTGGACCCATCTCCTCTGGCCCGCTGCAGGTGACCACAGAGGCCCGAGGTGGACGGGCAGTGTGGCCACCTGGGGCTATGGCTTGTGACACAGAACAGGTTCAGAGATGAGGCTGCTCCCCAGCCTCCATGGAATACAGGGGATGGAGTGATGGGAATCCGCAGATGAGTCCTGTGCCCCAATCCACTGCAGAGCAGGAAAGCAGCTTACCCGGGGGCTGCGCCTGCGTCTCCCTGTCCAGGGGAACAATGGGGGGTGAAGTCTGGAGGCCAGCCTTGAACCAGAGCAGCAGGAACATCCGCAGGACGGCCCTGGAAAGGGGGATGGTGGGGCTAGGGGAGGCGGCGGGCAAGCACAGGGCAGAGGTACCCTGCTGAGCCCCGTCCCCCCAGCGGGTCCGGCCACCACCCGGTGCTGCCCTCCCTGGCCCGACCTACTTGGCCAGCTGGATGAGAGCGATGACAAGCCAGCGGCCCACTTCGCCCCACACTTTGGCAGCCCCCATCTCCATGAAGACCTCCACGCACTCCAGCACACTCAGCCATGTCAGCAGCTTCTGCTGGGACAGTGACTGCAAGAATCGCAGGCCCAGAGGTCAGGGGGCTCCTAGGCCAGGCGATGTGATAGTCCCCTCTCCAGGTCTAGGTGGCGGGCCTGAGTTCAAACACCAACTCCACCGCCACCAGGCTGGGTGCCCTGGGACGGGCTCCAGCGCCTACTGCAAACTGTCTTCAACCAAGATGGGGACACTGACACTTGGTGTGAGGTACGTCTCACATTCTGAGGCCAGAAACATCCCCCCGCAACAGGGGCTGCTGATTACTGTGTTGTTCCTGAGTGCCTGGGCTTCCCACCCTCCGCTCACCATGGGTAACATCCTCACCACAGGCAACTTCCTCCGAAGCTCCTTCCGCAGGATCCCGTCATTGAGCAGCACAAGGAGGTTAGAGGCCGAGTACACTGAGGGGCAGAGGCAGGCCTTCAGAGGTGGCCCTGTGGCCTCCACCCTTCCCTCACCTTCTCCCCAGAGCTCCAAGGGATCACCCGTCCTGTGCTGTGTTCAGCCATCCACAAGCTATGTGGAAACAAACTTGCCTCTCCACCCACTCCCTCAGAGCTCCACTCCCAGGTACGACCTGGTGTGGGCTCAAGACAAGACAGGTTGATCTCAGTGACCAACTGGCTCCTCTCCTGCTGGACAGCACCAGCCCACCCCACCCCCAGCTGCTCAGAAGCGCCCTTCCTGCTCCCAACAGCCACACACAGGGCCCTACCTCACCTGTCCCTTCTCTGCAGCCTGTCCCTGAAAGCTTGCACCAACTTCACCTTTCAAAAGCCAAGTCATCCTTTTGGGACTGTCATCTCCAATGCTCACTGGGCAAACACTCTTATGCCAATTCCACTTTGGGAACCCCGGACTCTGGGAGATCTGGATTTGAATGCTGGCCCTGCCGCCATCGGTGGCTGTCCCCTAACCTCGCTGAACTTGTCCCCTTAGCTGGGCAGCGAGCACAAGAGTGCCCACCTCATTATTGTAGGGAGGGTAAGCTGGCATAGGCAGGAAAGGCACTTAAGCCAGTGCACAGCTAGTAGTAAGCGAATTCCTCAGACTGGTCTTCCAACGATGGGGACACAGAGGGACTCGGACTGTGACAACAGACCTTTGTCCGGTCCACTTACAGTAGAGTAACCTAATCGGCAGCCCAGGACCCTGAGGCAATGTGGTCACCCCTGTGGGAAACCCTCCCAAGCCCAGATCGCCCCGCGCCGCCCCCCGAGCCCCGCTCACCCAGTTCTGACAGTTCATGTGAATCGGAGAAGCGACCTGGGAAGAAGTAAAAGAGGCGTCAGTAAACATTTGCCTCAACCTGCAGCTTCGGGTTCCCGGACTCCCCTTCCCTACTCCCTACGGGAACCCGGACAGGACTTCTCCAGCACAGCGATCACTACCCTGAGTCCGCAGGGAAAGGGAGCCACAGGGATCATAGATCAGGGCCCCGCAGGAAGAGGTCAAAGGTCAGGATGGCACCTGCCAGCAGGTAACTGAGGCCTCGCACCGCCGTCTCCAGCTGGGCCGTGGCGGCCGGGTGACGAGTCACATACTCCTGGTAGCGGAGGCCCAAGAGCCGCAGCTTCTCCATCCCACCCTGGACACAGGCAAACCCGCGGACAGGCAGTGCGACTGGCAGCGGCGCCCCACTTCCTGCGCCCTCCTTCCTGCTTCCGGTTCTAGGCCCGCCTCTCTGTTGCTTAACTTCCGCGGGCTCCCGCTGCCGAAACATGCCACCACTGGGGCAGCTCTTAGCAACTGCGGGTTTAAACCCGCCCTCCTAGCTCTTTCAAATCATTGGCTGACACCGTCTCCGCCCCCGACCCTCCCGAAGCCACCTGGCCTAGTTCTTAGCCCTACTTGGTTGGCTGCCCTTGCGTCTGCGCAGTTAGAGCCAGGAAAGCTCCGCGGCAGTCTAAGCAGTTCATCCCAGAGAAAGGAAAACGAGCCGAGTGTCTCCAATAGAGCGCCGAGACGCTCGAACGGGAGGACTGCCTTACAGGACTTGGCAGGAAGCTTGCGGAAGAGCTTCGATCAGACTTGGGGAGGTGCAGGGAGTCGGACTGTCTCAGTAGGTGCGCGTTTGGCCAGTTGGCCCCGACCCGTGCCCTACAGGAGGTAGTGCTGGGGAAACTGAGGCCAAGTCCTTGTGCTGGCCAGCCTCTCAGCTCAGTCGCATGTCTTTAGCCAGCAATTTAAATGGCCTAGCTTCGGTCCCAGCTCCCTCAAGGACTGCGTCCCCAAGAGGGCGCACCTGGACGCCCACCTCCGTGGAGAAAACCCTGACCCGGGCTTCCTTTCTCCGCCCGGGTTGACCTTGGGTTTCCCATTTGTAAAATGGTTCAACGGTCCTTGAACTCGGGATCACTTTCAGAGCGCATTCTGGCCCTCGGGTGCGCCTCCAAAGAAAGGGGACAACGCCTGGCGCACCCCTTCCCAAACTCCAGCGTGCGAGAACAACGCTACGGGGAGGCAGCTGATTGGCTGTGGGGAAGGGGGCGTGGCAGGGCTTACGCCACTAGGGACGCGGCCCGCGGATTTCTGATACGTTGGGAAATACATTATTTTACCTAATCTCCTCTGGTTTTTATCTGCTTGAGAACTCCCAGCTGTGATTCAAAGGCTGGTCTAGTCTGAAGGCAGAATTTTAAACCTCCTTAGTATGAGCTGCTTCCCCTGACCACACTAAGGAAGACAGACCCAGGAGAGGTGGCCCCGGGACCGGTAGAGGTCCTGATGCAGAGGAAGCGATCGTGGGCATTTCCTGCCACTCCATGGGTGCCACGCTTCTCTTGGTAAACTTGCCAGTGGGCAGGAACTCAGCTGTTCAGAGGGGGAGTTAGAGGCCCAAGTGGTGGGGCAAGGCAATAGAGAAAGGGGCCCATGGCAGTGCCCTCTAGCTGACTGCCCAGAGCCCCGCAAGAGCGGTGAGACGAGGCGGCTCCTTGGTCATAAAGCACGTAGCAATTGGGTTAGGATGTGAGCTTGGGAACTGGACGGCGTGTGCCTCTAGCTCGCTTCCACCTCCTCCTCTCAGGGTCTTAACAGCACTCCTGGGGCGGGGGGG